CTCGCGTTTTGTATTTTTCGTAGTTCACTAGACGTGTTGGAATTGTTTGAAAAACTTTGTGATTAATTTGTTCTAGTGGAATTTTGGCATGAGGTCTTAGTCTACAAGTATTTTACTTGTAGGCTAAATTTTGAACCTTTCGTGTTATTTATTTTTTGCTGCTACGTACCTAAAATTCTAACAGGAGAGATCATGGCGTTTAATCGTTTACAAATAATTATGTTGATTGTTTCCTTCAAATGTTTAGATTTAAATCTTTTTTCATAAAATTTTAAAAAAAAAAATAAAAAATTTAAATGTGATTTTTTTATAAATTTAAAAAAAGAAAAAAATAACAAATTTAGTAAATCTGAAATTTTGAACATGAATATAAGGCATTTTTAAATAATAGGAAAAATTGCACTATTCGTCCACTAACTATACCCTCGTTGCACTTTCGTCCTTTAATTGTTTCCATTTTCCAATTGGTACACTAATTTTTTTTTTGGTTAATTTTAGTCCAAAATGACATTCCGGTGCTAATTTTCGCCGGAATAGCTGATGTGGCGCCCAGTCAGATCGGAATTCCATTCTCGGCATGATGTGGCACGAGGTGGCGCCTAGTCAGATCGAAAAAATTGCACTATTCGTCCACTAACTTTACATTCGTTGCACTTTCGTCCTTTAATTGTTTCCGATTTACAAAATCAGAAGAAAAAAAAAATATTAAGAAAATCAAAAGAAAAGGAAAAAGCTTTAAAAAGAAAAAGAAAAAACATGTGGATAAAAAAAATTAACAAAAAAAAGAATATTAATTAATAAAAAAAATCATTTTGTTTAATGATTTTAAACAAAATAAAAAAATATCTTTTTTAAAATAAAAATACATTCCTTATTTAATTAAAAACGAAATAATTAATAAAAAAACAAAATGAAAAACAAAATAAATATTTAATGAGAAGTAAATATTTTTATTAATAGTTAAATATTTAATAGAAAAAGAAATATTTATCATTTTTTTATTGACAAAAAATTTATTTAAATAAAAAAAATAAAAAATATTTAATAAAAAAAGAAATATAAAATGAAATAAATATTTTCATGAGTAATAAATATTTAATAAATATTTTTTATTAATGGTTAAATATTTAATGAAAAATTAAATATTTAATAAAAAAATATTTTTCATTTTTTGTTAAATATTTCATTTTTGTATTAAATACTTAATCATTAAATAAAAAATATTTATCACTCATTATAAATTTATTTCGTGTTTATTAAATATTTTATTTTTATTTAATCATTAAATATTTCATTTTTTATTAAATTAAAAAATTATATTTTTTTTCTTTTTCTTTTGATTTTTTCTTTTTCTTTTGAAAGCTTTTTATTTTTCGTTTGATTTTTTTTTATTTTTTTCTGATTTATTAAACCGAAAACAATTAAAGGACGAAAGTGCAACGAATGTAAAGTTAGTGGACGAATAGTGCAATTTTTCCGATATGACTAGGCGCCACCTCGTGCCACATCACGCCGAGAATGTAAATTTCGATCAGACTGGGCGCCACATCAGCTATTCCGGCGAAAATGAGCACCGGAATGTAATTTTGGACTAAAATTACCAAAAAA